GTGTTGTAATGTGTTGTTTAGTTCATGAGAATAGAGAAAGAAGAAGGGTAAATGGAATTTGGAGGCATTAAGAGCTTCAAAATTGGTTGTCCATGGTTGTTGGAGTATTGATGACAATGGCAATCTTGTAATTACTTGAAGATGATGAGGGTGAGAGAGTAAATATGTTATTTTCGAAACCAAAAAAAAAAAAAAAATTGATGGCATTTTCGTGAATTATATGAACTTGTGGGGTGAATTGGGCAAAATAAAGTTCCAAAAAAAAGGGAGGTTAGTTTTGTGGTTGACTTCAAGTTTCAGGTCAATTTGTTGGACTCTTATACATGGGGATATCTGCAGCTTTTGTGGCGCGGTCGGTGGCCGCCGGAGTCTCATCGCTGTTGCAGTATGGAACACGCTGGCTCATCTCAAAGCTGTGCTGTGTGATACACTTATATATTGCTATTATCAAATTTAGAAGATATATTGTGTTGCTGGGAGTGTTCTCTTTCTTAAAATCTCATATTTTTATTATGTGAACTTTTGGTAGCAATGGAGAAGTGGGGACTTCATACTTGACTATTAAACCATATATATGGCCTAGGTCCCTTCTTTTAAAGCCCTGTTTGCTGAATGTTTTGTTGACAGCTTTATTAAGTAAACAGTAAATATGTGAACAAATAACATCATATCATTAATTGACAACACATCTCTATAATACTAACTCTGATTCATTATAAGTGCCACTTTAACTTTCTGCATACATATTAAGGAAATAATTAATTTTACATATTTTTAATATAGAAACACAATTACCTATACAACTAACCATATTTCAACCAATAGAAAAATAAATTGCGTAATAAAATTATTCAATTTTGCATTGAAAATCGAAAACTACACTTATTTTGTAACGACAAAAAAAATCTATTGTGTAATATGAAATGGAGGAAATATTATTATTATTTTTTTGATCAAACCTTACTTTCATAAATTATTACTCTCCATAACTGGAGAAAGTGTACATAGAACAAGCAAACAAAGCCATCCAGGTTAAACAAACAGCTGTTACTAGGAAACAAATACAACACAGAAGGATATGGGCATACAAAAAGCTTAAACAACTAATGACGTCGAGAAGTCCTCTAATCTCAACGACCATCAAGCTGTAAAGTGAGACGAAGCCTTGGAAACTAAAAACCACATTCAGTGATATAACTCTCGAGATTGAAGCAGCAACAAGTGCACAATCAACAATCTTCAACATGGCTACAAAGCCTTCGATTAGAACTTCAGTGTTAGAAGTATCTCTAATCTTCAACAATACATTCCCTGCACCAAAATCACATAAAGTAGATGATGAAATTGGGAGAAGAACAAACTTCTTAAAGGAGGAAACCGGACAGTAAACGTTCAACAAGACCCAGTTTACATGATGAATGGATATGTGACGCATCAGTCCATTAAGCTGCCATAGCTGAGCATAGAAGGACTTGAGCCACAAAGGTAGAACTGCATAAAGCAGTAAAGGGACTGCATACTGCAGTAGGGGCACACCAAGACGAGAGACAAAGACGGATCACATCACCCAACAATAAGTTATAAAAACTATGAGATAAAATCTGGATTAATGAACAAGGCAGAGAGATGGAGATGGAGATGGTGATAGAGAGCGAGCAATCCATTGTTGAATCAACAAAGCATAATGAACGGGAGGGGAGGATATATGAAATTGCCGGAAAAGAAACATTAAGGAATCCAGTCAACACACCAGCAAAGAAACACACTGCATACTGCAGGAAATAATCACTTTTAGACACAACTTATGTCATTCACATAAACAAAAGTAACGACATAATCCCTGAACACAAGCGCCAGATTCAAAAAAGGGGATTCCAGATAAGGAGTTTCTGAAAACTATTGAGAAATGGTTGTGTCCAAAAGCAGAAGGTGCACGAAAAGTGCATCAGGAGGATCTGGTGGTTCTGGTGGTGAGCGAGCTTCAAGCGGCACAGGAGGAGGCGTACACGGCTGCAGAATCGAAGGAGGATGGAGTTGCGGCGGAGGAGACGGAAGACTGAGTTGCGACGGAGGAGAGGGAGGACTGAGTTGCGATGGAGGACTGAGTTGCAATATAGTAGACGGAGGACAGAGTCGATACAAAGTAGACGGAGGACAGAGTCGGAGCCGAGGAGATTGAAGACAGAGTCGAAGCCGAAGAGGTGGAGGACGGAGTCGGAACGGAGAAGACGAAATCACCAACGAAGCCATAAGAAGAGTAGTGAGCTGCTTCTTATGGGTTTCAGATTGAAGCAACAAGAGAAACGAAGACGAAGACGGTGGCTTCAAGAGAGGATATCTTCTTCTTCTCCTTACATAGCTCAGGTGGGAGTATCATTTAAGATGTCAATTTCCTATATGTCGCGTTCACATTAATTTTTACGATGGCTGATTACGAAAATACACTTAATGAATTAATAATATTATATTTAAATATTATTAGTTTTGATTTATTTTTTCCTAAATAATATATAAAATACAAAAGGAAACATTTATAAATTTTAAAGAAAATTTAATGAACGAAAATACATGTATATAATATGATTCCATTAAAAAGGAAAACTACACAAAATAGTAATATTCCTTTAGAACATATTTTAAATAGCATAAAATATACTTCAAAGTAATTAAAATACTTTCTTTAATATTTATATTTTTCTTAGATAAAATAAAAATATGTTAAAATATAATGTTATTTCATAAAGAAAAGTTCACAAAAATAATTTTGATATTAAAAACAAATATTATTTCCTTGCACAAATAATTTTAAACAAGATAAAATAATATATATTTTCAAAGTAATAATTTTTTTTCTTTATGTCTATATATTTATATATGATTACATAAAATAATTAAGTATCATAACTGATATATTTTTAATTGACTAAAAATAGTTTATCATTAGTATTATTGAATTTTTTTTTCAATAATCTTTAGTTGACTATAAATCTTACAGTTACAAAAAAACAAAATATCTATAAATTATATTTTACTTATATAATATGATTTCTCAAAACAATCACACTTTTAAGAGATATTAGAAAAGGAAACATTTTTTTTTACAATAAGCATATTGCATCAGATAATTACAAAATATTTTTAAATAGCATAACACTCTATATTTTAATAAGGTATCTACATTATCTTTTATCATTAATATAAAATATTTTTTACTTTTTAGTTTGGTTTTTAATTTTAAGTTTTCTTTATTTTTTGTGGAACTTAATATACCCATAATCGAAATAACCAAACAAATCTGAATTTTAGTTTTAAGATTATTTAATAAACAATCCAGTTTACCTTTCAATAAATCTAAGGCTTAAAATTATTTTGAATTTAAAAAATATGTTAATTATTTTAAATATTGATATGTGTTCATGAGTTTTCAAAATTTTACATGTTATATTTATGTATGTAACTTCCTATTGATCATCGATTTATTTTCTAATATATTTTTTTAAAATCAACATATAGTTTGATAAATATTATTAAAATACATGGGCATTTCGGCGATAAATAAAACTAATTTGATTTGACTTAATTAAAATATAAAATAATTACAGTTCAGTTTGAAATTTAAAGAATATATGTAACTCTATTTACTAACATCATGAGTGACTAATCTATTTATTTTTATACATATACATTACATGATGACTCAAAACATATTAATAAATAAAATAAAAGATTAATCAATTGTTACAATTTATCTATTTTGTAACATTTATATATATGCATGAGAATTTAGAATATTATCTTTATATTCATTTATATAATTTTGATTCAAACACTTCAGTTTATTTTATATTTTATTTTAAGCACAATATACATGAAATTAAACATAATCTTAATAAAATATACTAACATATAAAACAACAACCAACCTAAATGAAAATAAGAAATTAATAAATTTTTTAATATAGTTAGAATAAAATATTATAGTTGAATTTAGAGAAGTAGATGCAAACTAATATACATATGTGATAACCAAATCGACGATTGACCCAAAAACAAACAAACCAACTAGATATAAAATATCCAAATCATATGTCTAATTAAATAATATAAATTCTACATATAAATTATAATTTCAAAAAAAATAAAATTAAATATCAATAAATTATTATAATGATATTACTTTATAAATATTTAAAACCGTGCATGCACACGAGAAAATTACCTTGTGAAAACATTAATTTGATAAGTTCTAGAATATGAACTATAAAGATGATGTGTATTGATGATTCAAATGTGACCAACTTCAACTGAGATAAGACTCGCATAAGAAACTGATTAGACTTTTGACTATGTAAAAACACTGATTTTAAAAGAAATAAATAACAAATCTTATGAATGATGTGAAAAATACCAAAGTATAGTAATGTAAATATAAAATATATACTAAATGGTATAGTACATATTCAAAAAATTATAAAATGATATAAAATTACTATACTATATAGGTCCAATATTAGAAAATAGTATAGGCATATAACTATGCAGTTACAATGATGGTGGTGACAGATGAACCGATGGTGCTGGATACGAAAGACATACCAGATGTTTTGAAATTGGTGGTGTTCGTGGTGGTGGATAAGATGGTGATGATGGTAAAGTGATGGATACAATGAGTAAGTGATGTGGATTGCGAAAAAAGTGAAGGTGGTTACTGAAGAAGATGTAGTAGTTTGTTGAAGAGGTGGTAGTTGATATGAAGGAGATGACAGTTACTACAAAATATATAGTGAAATACGGATTTAGTCAGTAATTAAAATTTATAGTGATTGTGGTTATGGAAGAAGTCGCGGTGGTGATTGGTAATGTAATAAGGGATCTTTGACCTTTTATAATCAAATACTTGAAGTAACATAGTATATATTGTAATAATAATTGAAATATTTTTTTTTCTTCGATAGTAACTAGACTATAATTTTTTTATTCAGCCTAATTTCTAAAAAAATAATATTCTTTTATTTATTATTTTTTATCAAAAAAGAATAATCTTTTATTAAGGTTGAAATTACTATTGGATATATGAACCACCACCACTCTTTGGTACATATGTATGAGCCCATAAAC